CTCGCCGCGCCTCCCCGGCCGCTCAGCGGGAACGCGTCCCGCACGGCCGGCTGCCAGCAAAGACTCTGCAGCCCGAAAGGTGACGAGTGCGCGTTTTCAGAGATGCCGCATCCTGGAGCTGCCGCTGGCTGATGCGCTCTGGCGGTAGGGACAAGAGTGAAATCCTCAAAGTGCCTTGTTTTCAAAACTTCGGGCGCAAGCAGTTCCTGTAACCCTAGTGGGGGCTCACTACATCTGAAACAAACATATTTGACCATTAATGAATCGTAAACTTAATTGGTACTTTCACTAGCTAGTGATATATGCAATACATAGATGAAAAGGGGGTTAAAAATCTGCTCAGCCTAAGCGCAGTACTGCATACAGCTTGTATCAAAAATGACTATAAATCAGCTGCAGAGCCAGATAAGCTGAGCAAATGTTAACATGTAATTAACTTTGGACTACTGTCAAAAGGGAATGTGTGTCCAAGGAATTTCATCCATAAGTTCCCTAGAACTGCACCAGATCTGGTACACGCCCTTTGGTTTGAGTAGCGCTTTTCCCACTTTTTTGGAAATTCTAATTTTTCCACTTATTTGGAAAGAAATAGTTGGGTACGCGCACTATGAATGGTACATGAGGACACACTGCATGATTGATTTCATTTGCATGCCTCAGTTGCATTATCACTGCATCATACAAAGCTGCACAGTCTGCACACATGTGCAGTCCGTATTTGCCAAAGATTTCTGAAAATTGGCATTCCAGTAAGAGGGACCTGCTGGGAAAATTCAGATACCACCAGCAGGCCATGTTCCTATTAACTTTTCTCACTTCCTGGGGAAATGGTGCTCCATTATCTCCCCAGGCCTTATCTGTCAGTCTTCAAAAACACTCTCCCAGGATCTCTTGTCTCTTGCCTTAGATGGCCAACGCATCAGAAGCACCAGCAGACAGCAGCAACAGAATGCTGCCAAACACACGCGCGCTGGCTGTCTAAACAAAAAACCACAGGTCTATAAGATGAGATCCTAACCATGATGCTGTCAGTCTTTTATTTGTTATCTGAGATTTAGCAGGTGTGCAATCCTCTTTTCTTTTAACAGGTGGAAAATGTCATCTTGTCATGAGAGATTCGATTTAAAGCACTGTAACGTTCTATTGCAGTGGTTTATATATCTCAATGTTCATCACCTAACAATGAGATACAACAGCGCTTTTATTCTCTGAGCCATAATTTAGTCTGCCAGTTCCTGGCAAATATATTTCAATGTTGCACCCTGCAAACATGTAAAAATATCAAATGCATTGTATTGTTTATAATGTGGTTGCAAGTCATTCATGGTAATTAAACTTTCATTACCATTACATCTCTTCCGTCCATCAGGCTGTTCCTGTTATGTTATTTTATTATTGCACAGGGAAAAGTATAAATAAATGTGTATTCTAGAAGAAAATATAATAGCAGGTCTTCATTTATTTTAAGTGGTCTTAAACATTGTCCTTTGGTAGGCAAACTGATGTAAAAATAACTGATGTAAAGATTTCACATCTAAAACCTAATTTTTTTCCTTAATAATTTTTCACATTGACCAGTATGCCCATTGATTCCCAGCTATATTCAGGTACTAGATATTCTAACAGATATTTTGAGCCTTGACAGTAAATTCTTAACTGTCGTTTTCCAGTTGACAAAATGAATGACGTTACAGTACTATCAGAGTAACATATATGAATTCCAACCCTCAGCTAGCAACACTATTTTGCAAGTGCTATTTAAACTTCTGCTGGTTTTGTCTATAATCTGCTCTTTTCCTTCAATATGTTGTTATGTTGCCTATGCTACCATAAAGCAAGAAACTGGTAAAAAGTTAGCCAACAGGATTTTGAGATTAAAAACTCCTTTTTCAAGGAATTACATAAATGGTACAGTTCATTGCACCTAATACCAAGCATGTCTTTCCAGTCGGTCTGGTACTATATACTTAGAAATTAGCTAACTGCCATTTGAGAGTCAGGCAAAATGACTTTTTTGAGGACCTAAAACCAGGAGGTTTTGTACTGAAGTTCTAATGCACTTTCACCCCGTGTTCTGGAAAGATGAATTCAAAATAAAATAAGCAGAGACAAGGAGTACTGGGATGATGGAGGAGCTACTGTAGAAAATAAAACCTTTGGCTTGCTTAGTCTTAGCAAATCAAAGGCTAAGAGGGGATTATTTATAGAGGGCATTCATATCCAGTTGGAAATGGGGAAAACCAAACCCTCTAACTACTATACATTAAAGGTGGAGCTGGAGTCACTTATGAAAGGAACTAAGTTGTTGTGGCTGCTAGTTATTGCCTGCACAAGATTTATTGTGCCACAAGGTCTCTTCTGGTTCTGTGTTTGTGTCTTCCTGTGCCAGGGGAGACCTAATCGATGAACTTGTCACGGTGGGTAACGAAGGGGACTGAACCAGCCTGCAGCTTCAAGGTGAGCTACCTCTGCAGGACAACAGCTAGATAATGTCTTACCATACCAGCGTGTATGCCTTGAACAAAATACTTTTAGACAAGGCGTGTATGCCTTGAACAAAATACTTTTCTTTTTCCTAAATTGCATTAATCACCCCATCTTGCCTGGCAGGGAACACTGGTTAGTCATTAAAGCAGAGGGGTAGGAATCATAAGGTTGGCGACTCTCTTAACCCTTCCAAAGCTTACATCTGCGTTTTCTAATCTTAATCTGTATGACTGGAAACAATGTTTTGCTCTGTCTCACAAGGGTGCTAACAGATAACTGATAGATTATTAAGGTCACTTTTCTTCAGGTACCGGTAGATGTGTAAACTCATTTAAAATCTGGCCTTAAAGTCCTCCAGGTGGGTAAAGCATGGCTAGAGAAGTGCTAGAGAGGTGCAAAGTATTATCTCCCTTACTAATTATACACGTTTCCTTGGATACAAGTCAGACTGCCTCATACGTTATTTGCTATATGCTAATAAGCTTTTGCAAATTAATTAATGGAGGTATTGGACATACTAAGAGAATTACTTGAATGATACCGGAAGGATTACTAATTTTTTAACTTCATTTGCTTGAAAAATTGGAAAATAGGCACAAACTGTCAGGTTGTGCTTTTGAGTCTTTATACTGTACAAATAAAAACAAATTGAAAAAGGCTCTGTTTGTTGTACAGGAACAAGGAGAGTCGCCAGAGGGCTTTTCAGCATTCCATGTTATTCCTGTTGCTAAGGAAACTTTCCTTCATCTGTGCTCAGTAAGGCATCCTCAAAGAGAATTCCCTCATAGACAGATGGCATCACAGATCACAGTCAGAAAAGTCAGCTGACAATTAACCAGAAATCTAGTCACTGAAAAGTTTTAACAGGAGAGTTTCTGTTTTCTTTTATAAAACTCACAATGATTTGTAGTAGGGAGGAGTCCGGAGGAACCCTAGCAAGCCTGCATGATTGCTCTCGTCTCCACAGAATTTCCCTCAAGAGGCAATATATAAAGAAATAAGAATAAACCTAATTATTTGGCCTGGATTTTGTTGGCATTGTCTCTGTATTGTATTTTCTGGAAGATAAAGTAAAAATCTCTCTCAAAAATATTGGTACATGTTCTCTACAATAATCTCTATTTAAGACACCTTAAAGAAAGCAGGAAATACAGAAATCATTATAGGACTCTCTACCAACTAGATTTCGCTATCTGTTGCTTGTGTCCACTTTCAATCTATTACACAGATACCACCATGGCTATAAATACCATTACTCACAAAACAAGGTACCACTTACAATGAGAAAGAGAGCAGAATTGTGTCACATATAAATAATAACTGAGAGTCTGCTATCCAATTTATGTTGTAAGATTTCTTATTTTTACTCTTCTCCAGCTCAGGTTTACCCGATTTCATTGCGTAAGTCTTGAAATGGAGGCTAGCGGCTAGCTTTACTATGACTTTTAATACGCATGGAATATTCTATAAATATTGCAGCTCTGAAGTTGCACGATACAGTAAGGAAGAGGAGCTCGGGTACCTATCTCTACTTAAGAGCATGCAATATTCCACAGCACTCTCTAGCTGGCATCCTTTCTCCAGCACTGCTCCCCCACAGATGCTTGGAGAAAGAGTGCGAGAAATGGGGCTAGTACAGCGTGGCCCTTCCCAGACATGCTTTCCAGAGAAGGCATCTTCCAGCAATCAGTTGGTCAAGAGGATTAAGGCTGCTGCTTTAGCCTGTCCATTTTGTCCACTGGACACTAATGACCTTCTGCTCTGTGCTCTTGTCTAACTGTTTTTTTTAACGCAATTTGCACTTTTGTATCATGTTAAAGTTTGCATATTTCTGGTCCCAATAGTGTTGCTCCCATAGAAGATGTAATATTGGAGACTGTAGACGAAATTTTCACTTGACATAAACTTTTGCATGGTAAAAATGAGGACCCTGCTTCAGCAGCGGGGTTGGATCAGATGATCTCCAAGGGTCCCTTCCAGTCCTAACTATTCTGTGGAAAAGGAAAGACTATGAGACCCTTTCTCTTCCCTGAAGGGAAGCAGTGGCTGCTTTAGATTACACCATTCATAATAACCACCAAGAAAATGCTATGCCTCTTGAAAAGGAGATGAATCTTTGTACACTTACCTTGCCATTCCTATCCCACAGCATGTGTCTGCTCAGTGAGAACTTCTGACCACTCTTCCACCATCTTTGGCAGAAAGTACATTTGTAGAACCAATTTTTCTTTTCCTCTTTGAAGCCACTTCTTCTGGGACAAAACCCCTACCTGTTCCAGAACTGAGAAGAATGCAAGCGTCAGCTGAGATACAGCTGCAGTTAAGTATTAGATTGCAAAATTTATTTCTAACCTTGATCATACAACGGTATTCATCCTAGGAGATACACAACTCTATAATGCATGCAGAACTGGTTTTTCATCTTCAGATCTGCACAGGGACTACCTGGTGCAACTTCGGAAAAAGGCATACAGGGAAGACCTTTGCAATGGCATACTTTCTGAAGAGAATCTACTTCCTTTAGATGAGCGTTCCAATAATACAAATTTCCTATTCTAATTGCTTCCTGTTCCAGGACCATACAGTTTTCTATTGTATGCTGTTGTAGAGCTATCAAAAACAGCATCTATTTTTCCTTATGTATGTGACTATTAGACATGGTTACATATTGTACTATTAAAATATATGTATCTGGATATTGCAGTGACATCAACATTTGTATCTTGGCTTACTGTTATATGTAAAACATGGCACAAATATATACACATATGTGTTTGTGTATGTGTATGTATATTTCATATACATAGTTTAGTAAATGTTTCAGGCAAAACTCTGAAATACACTTTTTCGGTTATTTTAGTGATACACTATTGGATGTAGGGACAACCGAATCCAATCCGTTCACAGGCTAGTTCCCTCTTATGACATTTACAGTCTTTTCTATTTTTCCTAAACAAAGTGCACGGCCTTCAAACACGAGTAGGAAGACTGTGTGTGTCATTTCAAACCATAACATGTCCTTTCTTGTTTCTTCATTCTAACCATGGGTGATAGCCTGTGAAACAATCTGAACATGTCCAGCACCAGCATGTGACCTTCTGTACCAGCCCATCGTATGCGAGTGCAACACTGCTTCTCTGGAATATGCCAAAACAAGTCTTACGCTGTGGTGTATAAAACTGAAAGCAATTCCCTATCTCCAACAAATTGAGAATCGCAAAGGGATACCATTTCTTTTCAGATACCTTAGGTTTTGCTCACAAGACCGCAGCTTTCATCTTGGTTAGCAGTGAATCTGAAGGAATGGAAAACACTAAAGTATTGTGGTATGTCTGGAATATGAAAGGTACATTCTGTGCTGCTTCTTTGATGTCTCATGAAAGAAAATTGAAAGAATACAA